GGGGGGGGGGAATAAATAAAATAAAAATCACTGAAAGAACAAAGTCATACCAGACTGTTAAGACAGGAAATGTATTAAATCTGTAGCCAGCAACATTCTTTGCACACATTACAAGTGATAAAGATAAGAAGTGTTACAGAGTTATTTCCAAGGATTAACTGTTTTAGTAAGAAGGCATGGATCTCTTAAACTACACATAAGAATCTCTCGCGTAATACAGATGTTTTGATCTAGTCACGTAGACTAAGACAGCCTTTTGAACTTTGTTGCTTCCTCTGTATTAAAGGTCGTGGTTGGTTTGACCTCTCTAAGATTTGATGCCTGTGCTGCAAGCAGAAGAGCAGAAGTGCAGAAAGGACGGCAATGCACTCTGCTGCAAGAAAATAATAATAATAAAAAAAGAAAAAGGTCTCACCTCTCTCCTTTGAGGCGGTCTTCGTCTTTGAGTAGGACCACTAGCTGCTTGCTCTTCTCCCTGACGTTGATGCCCTGGTCCTTGCCATCTCTGTCGATGTACTGGAAGTCCTTCAGAGTCTGGATGGCGAAGATGTTTTCTTTGCACTGCAGCGCTACTCTCTCTGAGCCCGTCTTGATCAGGTAGTCGAGCAAGGTGAGCGCCTTGTAGACGTGGCGCCAGTTCTTGCCGTGGTCGTTGAGTCGTTTCCAGATCATGTTCATGATCTCGCTGAAGGCCACCACGTTGTAAGTGAGGTCGGCGATGTCCGACATGAGTGAAGACGACGGCCCCCAGGGGTCGTTGGACGTGGCCTCTCTGACTTTCTTCTCCGCTTCGGAGTAGTTGTTAACCATGTTCTTCATCTGCCGGCGGATGGTGCTTGGCATGGTGGCGGTTAAGATGGGACAGACAAGAAATCAAACGTACACTCTCACACAAGGAGAGCAGCTGGGACACCAACAATATTTGGGTTACACACACCCAGAAGTTACAAACGTGCCCTTCAGGTGAAGCTTGTGTTGTTTGCCCGCGTTTCTGTGTCCTTTGTCACGACGGTGTTTTGTTAATGTTTTCGTCTAACAAAGTGGTTTGTGGATGTACGCGGTTGTTTATGAGGCTCCTCCAGGCCAGTGCAGTGTTCCCGAGTCCTCCAACACAGCGTCTGTTAAAACCATTTCCACACCCACAGTGCCGGCTGAACACATGACCATGCCATCACCTAGACCAAGACGACAAATAACAGGTTAGTTTACAGAACAATATGAAAAACAAATATAGGCAAGGGCCAGAAACCAAAAAAAAACAAGCACACTCTACAATACTTGCAATCACTCAGAGTGTCTTAAACACAACATCAGCTTAATATGCATCTTCTTTAATAAGTTTCACACCCCTAAAGTAATGTCACATGCCAGCAATAACAACTCAAAACCTCAATAGCCCAAGAAAAACCTACGCGTTGCTATATTTCAGATTTCTGAACAGCTGAAGTCACACGCTAATCTGAATGTCTTTCATGAAGTTCCACAGCTAAACAGTAAGCTCACATCGATGTGTAATCACAAGAGCAGCTGTAAGCGCTTTTTGAAACTAGACAAACATGTTTCATACTTTCACACTTAGATAAGCAATTTCCATGCATGCCCCCTCTATATCATACAAAGTCACGGTGCTGTGAACAAGAATTGTTTCCACTTTTATAATTTCACTTAAGTTTACAGTAACTTTGACACAATGGCAAATTTACTAGGACGGATGGTGGAGATTTTTGTTAAACTAAACACAAATCTGTGTGGTCACACCATTCCCCAGCACTTCCAAGACTGCTTCAGGTGCATATTCTTTGTGTGAACTTGGAGGACAATGTGAAGACAATTACAATGAAACAACATGCCATATAAAGAGGTCTGCAATAATCTAACATTTTAATCTTGAGCACCAGGTTATGGAGTACAAATAAGTCCTTAAAATATTGTTCAGGGATTTTTTAAAAAACCTGATATGGTGTAAATATAACACAAAGAGCAGCGTGTATGTATAATATTGCTCTAAGATCATAGAAGTTATCAAGGTAATTCACCAGCAGTAACTTGACCACAATCTTTGCAAAGATTTAAATTAACAGTATTGGCAATCACTGAAATGGTTAATCCATCAGTGTGCACAAGCTCTTTAATAAAATTTTTAATGCTAAAATATAAAATTATTGTTTTTGAATTTACTGTTTTTCAAAAGCAGAAAAAAAAATATTGAAGCATATTATTATTTTTTGATTAGGATGCCAAATTACAGCTGAGCAGAAAAAGCAGTAATTTCTGAGTTCTCAGAAAAATCCAGGGTGTCGGCTTAAATTCTGGGTATAAAAACTTAATTTCAGTAACATTTCGTTCGTGACATTTTTTAAAACATATTTTTTAAATAACAGGTGGTCTAATAAGCACTGTATATATAAAATAAGAGCTTTGCTTTTTTTAATTCCCCAATATATTCAACCATAATTCTCTAACAAGTCTGAGAATGAGACGCCTTTATCTTCACAGCATTAACAGTAAGAATGAGTTTCCACCCTCTGGTGGGTGGCAGGGGAGATAATCCATTTCCAGTCAGATGAATACCACAGAAGTGACTGATGACGCCTCAGTACTTGTTTCTAAAAGATCAGCAAAGCAGCCACTAATCACTTCCTGCCTGACACAGAGACAAGTATGGATAGTGGGCGGAGACTCACAGCGGCGTAACGTACACACCCAAGTGCCATGTGAAAAACTCTTGACCGTGAAAACTCGCTTAAGTATGCAACACCTAAGGCTTACATAACACGTTTAAATCTGCTGCTGGTGCTGGAAAAGAACAGCAAGCCCCCATTAACAGAGTTGTGCTTGGACTGCAAATGCAGTTATTACTGTTATCAGTAATAACTGCAGTTTGGGATGTCGGTGCCCATTGTTTTGCCTGCCTCGATGCCTTCCAGGCAAACCTATGATGACTTATCCTCTTCATTGATCAGAGCTCAATGCCAGGCGTGCACAGACAAGCCCAACAAAGTTCTTTCACACACATAAGTGCAAGTCAAGAACGCGGTTTTTTCCAATGTATGTAGAAGTTAAATACAGACAACTTGTGCATGCATTTATTTCAGGGAGCTTCCTGTCTAGCAATGTCATGGAAAGACAGCTGGAGGGGACGGGGGTGAAGAAACAAGGATAAGAAAACAACTTGGCACATCCCATAAATTCACTTAACGCCAGTGAAACGTGATTCCTGTAGAGCATGACTCCGACACACACACACACACACACACACACACACACACACACACACGCTCTCTCTCTCTCTGAACGTTCCCTCGTCACCCTCCTCCTCACCCTGCATCCGCATGAATACTGCTCAGACCTAATGACACATCTGCTGCTATAATCACCTATTCACCCGTAGCAGACAGGAGGAAGAGAGGAGAGTCTGTCTTGTCCATCCCACCCTCCTGCAACCCCCATTCACATCCCGGAACAAACCCCCCACCCCACCCCTGACACACAAGAGCCAGTAGATATCCCCAGCCTGCCTTCACTCAGTCCTTCTGTGCTTAGTTCACGCCAATCCCAAAAGAAGACTGCACACAAGACTTGTGTTTGTGTGCGTGTCTAAAGAAATATGTGTTCATGCTGACAGTGCAGGTTATAAGTATGTCAAAAATCAGTAAGCATGTCATCATCCCGTCAAACCGCCAGCACACAATGCGGGGTAGCAGTTTAAGCGTGAAATAATTGAGTCCAGGGTGTGCTTTTTAATGGCACCAGATGAACTCGAACACATCTGTCGCCACCCATTCAGTCTCTTCCTTCTTTTCTTTCTGGCCTGTCTGTATCTGACTCACGCACATTAAAGATGAGCTGTTAGTCCACCCTGTTCTCTATTTCAACACAAAGCCATTTATAATATATTTAAATATGTGGTGTTTTAATATCGCCTGGTTTTTCATGCAACAATTGTCTAATCCTTGGCGATTTTCACTTTTGGAAGACAAAGTAATAAATGAAGTAAATAAGTAAAAATACCCAGCGATCATTCCTTAGAATGCGACAGAAGGCAAAGGCGAAAGAGTGCTTGTGCCCTGCAGCCAAACAACAGACCAAATATGCATTTATTATGGACATAGAGTTGGACTAATTTTGAAGGAGGAAGAGGAACAGAAATAACCCATTAAATACAGGCTGAGAAAAACACTAACCGCACTACCATCATAGTCAAATGGGACAAAGTGCCATTTACTGTTACATGCAAAGGTCAAAAGCAGAAAAAACAAAAAACAAATGAGGCCTTACTGTGGAAAACACTTTTTTACAAATCCAAATAAGATACCAGTGAACTGATGGACTAATATACACAGAACAGTTGTGATAAATTTCCCCCAAAAAGTAAATAAATAAATATGTGTATCGCCTGACAGGAATAACGATTGGTCTCGACAGCATGAACTAGCAGCAGTGATGTAGTAGCGCATTATGAGATATTCCCTTTTTGAATTGCAAATCATGTCACAGATACCTACAACTTTCTATCAATTCCATCAACAGTATTTAATAATAATACTGTAATGCCGCTTACTTATAAAACCTTCCAGCTTTGACCAACTGTAAACAAACGACCTGCGCGCAATGAGTGTTCATCTTAAATAAAATGAAATTATTTGTCATGTATTTAACAATCTGTATCGCCAAACTACGAATATCTAAAGATACAGACGGGGAAAGAAACGTGTGACTGAGACATTAATGTCTGTGCACCAGAGGTCCATCATTACAAAAGCTTTAATCTTGGCTTGGCAGGAAGTGCTCAGAAGTTGTTGCTGTGCCGGCAGTGCAGGAATGTGCAATATGTCGTTTCAGTATCAACATCATCAGCATGAAGTAAGACACATTAGGCTGAACACAACTTTCTTTCTCTTTGAGACCAAAGAAGAAGAAAAAAAAATGCACCTTTCTGACTTTTCTGTGAATAAACTGAAAGTTTGAGATTTACCCACAACTAACGAGTCCTTTAGTTTGTCACTTGTTAGTGCACACAGCACACGCAAAGGACCAAAGAGTTACATCAATTCATTTATTTAGAACAGGCAGTCAGGGAACCTCCATGAGACAGGAGTTCTTTTACACTCCAGTTTGTGGTGCAGGTCTCCCAAAACCAGGTGACACTAGTAGCAGAAACATCCTAGCATGCCTTGCTCTATGAATGGGTCCATCTTCTCCCCGTGCACCAGTGTGCCCGCTCTCAACGGAAAGATTGCAACCCAGAGTGGGTGCGTCTCTTAAGCTCCTTCCTCCCCCGTTTAGGCAGACGATGAGTAATGGCCAAACACTACCCTTCAATTCCCACTGGGGTGCCCATATCACAGCCACTCATGCCACATGTCACAGCAACTTAAGGCAATTCCACTAGATGCACAACAGCACATTTCAGGAGCAGTTCTTTGGTCCACTAATGTAGCGAGACGATGGAAGTTAAACAATGGGTGGTGGACGAGGCAGGCAGGAAGTCAGTCATGGGTACGGCAAAGAGAGCAATTGGGCAATTTTTAAAATCATCCTACACTGTGTGCACACAAATTACTCCCGGTGCAGGATGAAGCAGAGGAGAACAGAACAAAATCATGGAGGAGATACAACATTATAGACCCAAGCCCAATCTGTTCCTGAGGTTAGAGTTCAGCTATAGCTTTCAACAAGCTTCTGTGCACTGCTATTATCGCTAGAGAGAAATCTACCCCGGACAAGGAAATAACCAAATAAGGGAACAATAATGATGTCCCCTTCATTACGGTTAGTTCACATCAAACGCAATGAGAAGTTCTGCCTCATGTTGCTTGCATGAGGAAACCCATAAATGTTAACTCCTGACCGGCAATAGGATATAGATGTGTATAGCTGACAGTTGGAATCAAGTTACAGAAATATAATTTCCTAACTTACCATTAAGTCCTACATTTTCACTCACTTTTCTCCATGCGTTCTACCCCCCCATTTCTCTACATAAAGGTGACTTAGAAGCAAAGAGGCCCTGTAGCCCTCAAACAGCATCAATACACCTGTCCTTCATTTCTGATTCTCACTTTCACCTGAAAAAGAATCCACAACCTACAGGGCAATCCCGCTCGATGCAAACTTAACTTTTCAGCTTCATTCACATCACCAGATTTCACAGAATCTGAATGTCATTGTGCATCAAGAGAGAACCCACTAAGGCATCTTCTCAAACCACATGTATAGGATTTAACTGTAAGAGGGTAAAAAATTAACCCTTGTTTTACAAAATCACCCCAATCATTAGATCAAAGAATGATTCATGTTTTCCAGCCAAACATATTCATATTGCCTGGCGAAGATGAATGGGTTTTTCATGTCCTAGAAAATATCTGAATGAATATATCCCAAAGAAACACGTAGAACACTTGACTTAAGTGAGTCACCTTAGATCATAACAAGTTCAACTTATCTTGTGTGTGTTTTGGCAAAAGCTAGGTAAACTGTGATTAGCATTAAGGGCTCAGAAGCAGCGCATTGAGAACAGGTCCACCTTGTCACACAGAATGAGTAAAGCTGATCTCGAGATAGTAGGCTTGCACAACCGGGCGCCTGTGTGTGAATGTGACAAGACTATGTTTGTCTGTTCAGAATGACATTGTGTATAATAGGCTGTGTAATGGCATCCAGCCAGTTCCTTAACCATCCCTTTACATATGGTACAACCAAGAGCAACATTCATAAGTAATTAATCTTCATCTTCTCCTAGACACAAGGATTAAGCTCCCAAAAGCCAAACTCGCGTCAAATAAGCACTAACACTTGTTCAAACAGTACTAAAGTGGGTTTAAGTGAGCTATTACAACCGTGCACTCTGAGACAGTGAGACAGGAGGAGAGGCCACCATCTGATCGACGCATCACCCCACCTTTTGTCCTATGTTGCTAGCCGAGAGAAACAAAGCCAGCCAAGACAGGGACGGGAGGAGGACCGTGATGATGCATCTGTCACCCCCGTAACTGACTGACCACCCTGACAATAAAGGAAGCGCTGCCCCTCTTCTCAGGCCACATCAATACGGGTTCAGTGCAACTATGAAAAGAGAGGTTTTACTCAAACATATTTGACTATGTTGAAAATAGAAAAGAAAACCTTGCCAGTATTAATGATCTAAAAACCAAACACTTTAGTCGCTGCTTGTCGGAAACCAGGCGAGTAAACAGACAGCGCCCACGTCGTAACGAGTCTCCCTAAAAATATCAATAAGTACGTTAAGTTTTGGACTGCTGAGTCACTGTAGTATGCTCTCGTCTAGCCCTCGCCTCTATAACAGGACATATGTTTCGGTAGAGAAAATAAAAAATAATTTAAGTGGCTCTTTTTTTCTTTTCTTTTTTTAAATCACGGCGCCTCCTTGAACTGACGTGATTGATAGTTAGCACATAAGCTAAAGTAGCTTTAGCTAACATTCGTTTGGTGCTAGTAAACTACCTTAATGTTATTTATAATCCGTTCAGTCAAAAAATCCAGGTGATAGAGGTGAAATAAGTATGTGTATAAAATAGTGCGAGCTTGCTCTAACATAGAATAGCAACCACACTTGCTACTAAGGGGTTTGCCGCTAACTACAGCTAGTTGAGTGCAAACTTGCGGCAAGTTCTAGTGCTTAGCATTGATTGAGTTAGCGGTGACTACACATTTCAGCTCACTGGAAAAGTACATAACCCGGAAAAGTTTGCTGTAGCTTAAAAATACACTGCAGCAATCACTTTTTCCACTTACAGATATTTGCACCCGAGATACCAACCACCGCCTAGCGTCAATTTACAAGACGATTTCAAATCCTGGTTTTCAGAAAAGTTGAATCAAAGCTAGCAGAGCTTGTGTTAGAACAGCCAGTTCACACACCATCCCCTCCAGCACCCTACTAACAACACAACTGTTGATCACTCACCATCTAGATGTAACACAATTTACTATTTACCGGTTTTATGACCACTTATATACTGTAACGCACAATCGTTCGCTTGATAAAGTACTTTCTATGTTAGGACAATCAACTAGCATGAAAAGCTAGTTAGCGATCCTTCAAGCTAGCATCCAAGACGGGAGCTCAGTGGAGACATCACCATAGCAAACTGGATTACAGGACACCCCAGAAAAACAAAACAACGCGACTGTGTTGAAAACCGAAGGTAACTTACCAGAATTTTTGAGAGGGATACTTTAGGTACTCGTGTCACTCCGAGTGGAAGTCAAACCAATAAACAAACGTAGCTAATTCCAAAAAGAGAAGGGGGAAACCGAGACAGGAGTACTTATTTGGGCGTTCAAGGAGCTTGTTGCGCCTCCGCCTAGCTATATGCTGCTAGTGCTAAGCCAGCTAAAGCCAGGACTACACGTATCTCCTCCTCCTACAGAACATGGCGGGCAGAGCAGGAGGTGGGGTGTAGGGGTTGGGGGTTGGCCGGGAAGGGTGTGACCAAGTGGGCTTGACTTGGCAGGGATAGAGACAGACCCTTCATCCCTCGTGAAAACCCTCGAGGGGGAAAAGGCGCGTCCCTGAGCAAGTGACTGTAAAGTGATAATTATAATTTTCAAGTTTTCACATGAACGATTTACAACATCGTGGACATGCGTGACTATAACAATGGTTATATTAAAGTGCTGGACTACTTTTTTTTTTTTTTTTTTGTGGAATAGCTTTTTTGTTTTAGTAACCGAACAGTCCTCTCTGGTAAATCTAGTTTTGAGGAGCCATTTTCCAATTTCGTTAAAGAAAGTTAGCAGCCAAAAGGAAATAAACGGAGTATGCACAAGTACGTGCATGTCATGATTTGTCACTGCCAGGGATTGTCCGCTGCAGGTGTGTCATTACAAAGCGCAAACTTTGTAGGACCGCATTCCATCGCTCTAATTCTTTCCACCCACAGTCTCTGCGCAACCGCTTTTTCTTTCACAGGTATTTAAATAGAGGGAGGGGGACAGCACGTCACACGTCCCAGACACACGTGGCACAACACGCTTTATCTTTTTTTTCAAACCGAGATCTATGAATAGACGCAGATGCCTTACTAAAAAGTGCGCAGTGAGCTATTAATAGAAGTGAAGGTTGTAGACGCAAAGTGTGTAAGTTAAAAATAGAAAGGGATCAAAATGTCACGAATCTGCAACGCTGACAACAGCCAAACGTCAGTATGACCGATGTGATGTCCTTTGGCTGTTTTTACTGCTGTGCCATACTGCAAATTTTGTTATGATCGATACCAAATAAATACAGGGCCAGCATTCCCGATACCAATATCGGTATTTTTAACTTATAAGGACAGCTTATGTAGGGGAGAGCGGTGTGTCATGACATTTAAAATTATCATCAATTTGCAAATTCTGAACACATTTTAATGACCACCAAATTACTGTGATGTTTTTCTTTTACTTTCTCAAAAAAAGCACATCTTTTAGCTTTTTGTAACTGGGTTTTTTGGGGACCTAGAATGTAAATGCACCTGTCTTTAAAGCACTTTGTGTGAACTTCGGTTATTAAATGTGCTTTAGGCAATAAATAAAATAGACGTGACAGTCAACACAAAAAGTTTAAGACATTTTTTCATAGTACGTCTGAGATTATTTTTCAGTTCTTAAATATAAGACACAATTCAGTCAGATAGATAGTGAACTTTGGGGACAGAAATAAAGTATTGATCCTATCACGCTAGTATCGATCCAATACAGATGCCAGCATTGGTATCGATACTGTCGACCCAGCTCTGCTTTCTAGTAAAGTGCTAAATCTGGCTGGGAGTGCCACCTTTAAAGTTCACTGATGCTTTTGTGTCCTCCTGCTGCATATTCAGTGGAAAGGATAAGCCAATTAAATGAAGCCCAAGCCAAGCTGATTGAGATGTTTTTGGCACTCGCTGCTCTCTGCTTGAGAGAGTGATAAAAATTTTTTTAAAAAAACCAAATAGACTCTTTGTGCAAACAGGTTTTTTAAATTGTGTAATTGGCCTGCTCTAAAGCTATTGCCTGAACAGAACAGACCAAGTCAGAGTGCGAGAAAAACAAATTGTACTACACACTACTTACTAACTCAAGACCTTTAACACGAAGACCTATGTTGGTGTTTTTAGAGGAGTATTTCAAGTTGATGATTCATCTTACTAGACTGCCAACATCCACTATATAAAGCAAAGCCCCTCCTGATGGGAGCCTGCTAACAAGAGGATTGTGTACCAAAGAAGGTTTGGTACATGGCAAGAGGATATCTTGTCAAAGATATATATTTGTGTTACTCAAATATACATGATTTAATCCTCACCAGGTCTTAAAATTCATAAAGTACAACCTCATGACATATTATACCGTGTCATAAACGAAACTAAGCCAAAATGCAGAAGCTACCATGATTCAGTAGCTTGTAGAACCACCTTTAGAAGCAATAACATGAAGAAATGGTTTCTCTTGTGACTTTATCAGTCATCCACATTGTTGTGGAGGACCTTTGGTCCACTCTTCTTTACAATGTTCCTACAGTTCATTGAAGATTGTTGGTTTTTGTGTATACACAGCTCTCTTAATGTCCCACTGTAACATTTTGATCAGTTTTAGGCTTTCGGTTTACTGCTGTCCTTGGGTATACTTTGGTATACCAAGGAGTTCATGGTCAAGTTAATGACTGCAAGGTCCTGCAACTGCAAAATGAGCCCAAACCATGACCACTGACAGATGATACGAGGCATTTGTGTTGTTGTGCTGTCCTTGAGGGGAGCTTGGAGGCGTGGTGGTTAGCACTGTCGCCTCACTAGGAGGTCCTGGCTTCAATTCTAGTCTGAAACCTTCTTGTGCCGACTTTAATGTTCTCTCCAAATAGTTCATCTTCACACAGGGAGTAAGGTTAATTGCTGATTCTAAACAAACCGTAGATCAGAAAGTGAGTGTGAAAGATTGTCTGTCTCGATTTGTTAGCCCTGCCACAGACTGGCGACCTCAGCCACTGTAGAATGGACTTTTAAATTGTTTGGAAACGGCCTTAACTCTTCTCAGATTGGCGGGCAGTAACAAGCTCATAGCTGATGCCTTTTCTTCTCAGGACTGATGGCCACACACAGACCTGAGCACACCAGACCAGCAAACTGCCAAAACCTCTGCTTGTTATAGGCGTGCTCACACTTGGTGAGGATCAGTTAATGGAGTGCATTTGATTAGCAGCATCTGGCTGCTACTCTCTGAATTCCTATGGAAGTAATAAGGGTTCACTTTTTTGCACACTGCTTCTGCATTTTGGCTCAGTTTTGGTTAAATAAATAATGACACGGTGTAATATGTCATGTGTTGTTGTTTATCCTGAGGTTGGTTTTACTGAAGTTTAAGACCATATTATTTTAAAACCTCATAATTGAAAGAGGATGTACTTTCTTTTATTTTAACCATGGCTGTATTTCTGCATCCAACACAAAAATGCAAAACCTTTGTGCAAAATAGATGTAATTGTGGCAACTGTGGCAAATCCTTTGTTCTTCTGCAACAGGTATCAAAGAGAAGCTTGAAGGTGACATTCATGGTCGGGTGAGAAAGCTACCTCAAGCAGTTATTTTGCAAACAAACAACAAGAAAATGTCACCTTGGCATTTACTATCTCCTCTTATCAGACAAACTTTGAAAGTTAAACTAAATTCTGATTGGTCAGTCTATGCAAACAAAAAAGTGAAGTGTGCTATGTGTTGAGTATGTGCCCTTTTAAAGTACATGCAGGTCCAGTGTCAGCCAGTAGAGGTCAGAAGCGTCCCACTTTTAAAACAGTCAGAGAGTGTGTCTGTAATGTGAGCACAAACTAAACTTGGGAGGGCTGTCTAGAACCCCCTGCAGACATGTGTGACCTTTAATATGTAATCACCATATGTGACCCCCTACAGAATCACCCTCCACAAAATAATCACCCTCATTCTCAACACTCATGCCCTATTAGAGACTCACTGGGCCATTAGCTTGTCTTGCACCATCCATGGTCAGATGCACTGACCCAGCATAGTTTTACTCATGCAGAATGAGTATTGCAGTCACTAACACATGATTCGTTGAGTCTAGATGCCACCATGCGTGACACATGAACAACAGTCAGGTGAAGCTCATGATGATCATTAGTTGTTAGCAGCTTACCATATCTTACACTATTATTATATAACCGAGTGGCGTTTATCACACACCAGAAATTCAGTCACCAAATGCGGTAAATCTCAGTTACAAAGGCAAGCGGTGCATGTGAGTCATATTAATTTGAATTTTATTCAGCAGGATGTGCAAACACATTAGGTTCACCTAAGGAAGCTCAAGCATGAATATAACTGGTGCATCACTTTGAGAAGCCTGCAAAACTTATGTAACGTGGAGGAAAAGGAGGAAAGACTGGCAGGAGTCAGTTTTTGGCCTGAAGTAGCGCACTTGGTTCCAGATGGAGCCTAAATCAGCAGAAAGGGGGGGGCAGAAAGCATGAAATAGGATAGCGTATAATTTTTGCCACTCCTGCCAGTTTATTAGCTAAATCTTTTCATATGCAAATGGTAGAGTGCTTGTGAGGAGCTCTTGTAGATTATACCTGGAGAAGGAAGGTAAGTGGAAGAAAAACAGCCCCAGCAGTTGTTATTTACACATTTTTAGCATAAAGAACCCACCTGATCAACTCCTCTACTGTGAGAGCAGACTTTTTTCTTTTTAGTAAAAAAACAACAACAAAAAAACAACCTTTCATTATAAAGGCAACTTTTTAATCCATATAGTCAGCCTTCCTCAGCTGCAGAGATGCAAATCCATACATGACCTCTTACCAGTTTGACATTTTCTTGACCACTGTGGCTGAAAAATTCACTTTTTCACCCACCTGTTCACACATTTCTACAGACATATCCTTGTGAAACCACTCCTGCAGACAGAGGTGAATCATGTTTTCACTCTTACATACCTAACCACTTTAGTTACACGTGCCCTTTAAGTCAGAGGGGTCAAACATAAGGCCAGAGGGCCAGAACAACCAGGCATAGTCAAATCCGGCCTGTTGGGCTGCTTCGGAAAATGTGAAGGAGGGTGTACATTTTGAACTTTTCACTGTATTTTCACAGGTTTTGCGACTTTGTTCTGATGATAAACACCTCCCCAACGCATTTAAGTGATAATTAAACAATTAAATGCCAGAAAAGTGCCTGTTTTTTCACTATTTAGTTAAGAAATTTCTAAGTTAAAAAAAGATAATTTTCTTCTAAATGAACAAAAACTTTTTTTTTCATATATACATTCACAGGACAGTTTGGGCAATGACACAAATTTACACTGACAGAAAGTGTAGAGTAATGTTGACCCTGGGCAGCAAATAAAGGAGGCAGTTCTCTAATTGGCTTCACAAACTTTTTTTTTTTTTTTTTTGTGAGCTCAGATGCCCTTCCTGCCACATGTTGTTCAGTAAGTGCGTGAGAGAGGAAGCGAGGTAGAGCAACAAAGCAAGTGAGAGAATGGGAGTGGGGGTGGGGGCTAAGAGAGGAACAGAGATTAAAAAGCATCGTGGGGACAATGCAGTACAATATAATGACAGCTATTGGAGGTGGGTGGGTGGGGGAGGGGGGGATTACAAGCATATAGGTGCAAAAGAAAATTGAGGGTAGGAACGAGCTGTAGACAAATGTGGCCTGAGAATGCACAGATCCTGAGAGGCATTGTTTATTTGTTTGAGGGGAAGTTGAGCGATTTTGTGCCCACCTGTTTTTTCCGCCATTGCCCACTGACTTCCGCCAGCTCACTCAAACACGCAAACCTGTTCACCCATTTCAAGCCCCCCTGCATTAGTGCCCCCGGCAGGATAAAAATGTTGATGAAAATGATGAAAATGTCACCCAAGCAGAGAAGCACTGGGTTTACATACTATGTGCTGCCTGTGTTGTGGGTAACACATACACAGTGTACTGCAGGGCTGTTAAAAATGGCCTATCAGTCACATTGCATGAAGGATTCATCACTGTTAACAGAAAACACACCATTGTGTACGGGCAGCTGTTTATGTAAGTTATAACTTGGTGTTTAAAACATCCGACGCTTTCCTGGAAAAGGACACAGGAAGTGATATCATTGTGTCAGCTGAGGGGCCTAAACAAAAGAAAAGAGCAGTGAACAGCACAGTGCCTGAGACAAAGAAGAGAACCACCTACGGACACACAAACTCAACCAACAGAAAAAAAATGCAAAAAAAATAGGATCACCCACAACGTTTGAGTGAGGCCGGAGAGCTGTACACAGAAACACAGCGAGGTGTACCACACATTAAAATACAGAAAAAATATATCTGGCTGTAGAATATGTCGATCCTTAAATTTTTTAATTCACCTCCAGCATTTCAAACGCACAAGACATCATCACACAGGAAGGAAAAGACTTAAGAACAAGGGTGTTGCTTCGGCCCTAGAGCAGCAGGCAGTTCCACTTCCTCTCCTTCTCTTCCTCTTCTATTCTTCCATCACCTCACATCTAGCCTTCACATCCCGCACTCCTCCTTCTGGTGGCACAGTCAAGTGACGCAGCTGACCGGGGATTTCCTGGACAGGTCACGCTAAAGAAACAGCTACAACTTCCCTGTTGTTTTATCTCATTGTAGTTAGAGCCGTTTGTATTTTTACTTTGCATTTCCTCTTCTATGTTTTACTCTCTGTCTCTTCTTCTTCTTAAGTCCATCCAGACGATATCTACAGATCATGAAGTGTGGAGGCTCATTTGGGAGGGAGTTTGATTGGCTGCTTGTAGAATGTGGCAAAAAGGACTTTCCAAATAAGACTTTGATTATTAGTTATATCATTATTAGTGATAAACCAGGCAGCACTGTTGCCTTAAAGCAAGGTCCTGAGTTCAATTCCAGCATCAGGCTGGCGTCTTTCTGTGTTGAGTTTGCATGTTCTTCCCGTGTTTGCGTGGGTTCTCCGGGTACTCTGGCTTCCTCCCAGAGTCTAAAGACATGCAGTTAGTGGGAATAGATTAATTGGAAACTCTAAATTGGTTGTCTGTGTCTATGTGTTAGACAGACTGGCGACTCGTCCAGGGTGTGCCCTGCATTTTGCCCTAAGACAACTGGGATTGGCTCTAAAAGGATAAGTGGAAGAGGATGGATGGTAATAAACTGGATTTTGTGATTCTAACTGAAACCTGGCTTGATTATACTGCTAACACAGAGCTGGCTAAAACATCACCCAGTAATTACAGCTTTGAACCTTTACACCACACAGAGAGGCGATCTGGTCGCTGTTATATATAAAAACAGTTTTAGTTGTAAATCTCTTGTACTCCTTAATAAATGCCAACCGGCTAAACTGAGATGTGATTTTATGGAAAGAATTAATGAACTTTTTTTCTGAAATTATAATTTTTTTTATGCATTATTCTTTATTTTAATTCATTTCATATTCACACTGACACCAGCAGCAACTCTGATTCAAAATATTTCATCAGTTTACTTTAATGTTAATGTTTAACAACATGCAACCCCACCCACTCATACTAAAAGTCACATGTTTGATCTAATTGGTTCCAGAGGTCTTGACGTCACAGTGACAAATGTCCTGGCTGTTACTGTCTCGGGTCGTTATTACATATTTCCAGAAGTGTTTTGGTCGTCTGACAAAACTAACACCAACTGATTTATCAACAGCCGTTACATCAGTGCAAGTGCATTTAGTAGTGAATTTTCAAAATACACATTACTGGTACTGTTGTCATGTGATGACATTTCTCAGTCTATCGATCATATCGCACCTGTCAGAACTGTTAATGTATGCAGTCTACAGTGAGAATGTAAATATGGCAAAAAGAGTCTTTGAAATCAATAAAAACACACTTTGTTACTGCAACAATGGAATAAAATTAGGCAGGCAATCCTATGTCTCCCAACTGACTAACAATACTCAGGGTAATTCCACTTCTTTTATTCCCAGCCATTGATAAACTACCCAATGCTTCCAAAACCATTCCCTCTGAATTTCTTTCATTAAAAGTAATATCTTTGATTAATTTATCTAGCATTGCCTCACATTCTTACCAAACTACTGCCAAAATGTCCAGATAAAATCCTGAAGAAGTCATTTATCAGTTAAAATCTTGAGTTCAATTCTGTATTTTGTAAACGATGACATTAACTGCTGTATGTCTACAAACTTTTTTAGAGCCAAACAGAGATGAGCCAGAAATACTTGTTGTTGGTCCACAAAGTCTAGAGCAAGGCAGGAATCTCAGAACTCTTGTGAACTGTGGTCTCAATTGATAACTGATAATCATACCAATAAGGTCACCAGGACTCCTTTCTACCATAAAAAACCCTAAAAGTTAGAAAATTCATATAAAGGTTAGACTACTGTAATGCTCTATTTGAAGGGTTATCCAAAGCATCAGAAAGAGGACTTGATAATACAAAAGACGGTGAAGATCCTTACAAGTACACAGACACTGTCTACAAGTTCAATACAAAATTACCTTTAAAATTCTCCTACTAGTTCATAAAGCTCTCAATGGCTTGGCCTCTCAATACATCTCTGACTTGCTCAGTGTGTATAACCCAATCAGACGTCTCGGGCTATAAGGTTCAGATCTTTTAACTGTCCCCAGTATAATCGTCCTGAATAGGCAAATCAAGCTGAGATCTCCACAGCCACTGATTCCCAATGTTTTATTTCCTACAGTGTAGCCCAAAGCATACAGTGTATACAGGGCTTCTGATTCACCACATACGAATCTGAGCAAACCCCTAGAACGGGCCTCCAGAATTAAAAAGCTATTGCTTTTAACCGTCCACTATTTCTAGCATCAATCCAGAGAAGTTGCTGGAACAATGAATTTAACTCAGCATGTGACATAAATTGAGACAGATGAAGCTGGCAGCCCGCTGCTGCTGTCAGTCCATAGATGATAAATACCGACGATATGATGTAAAACCTCATAGCTGGTTTTATCATCCATGCTATAATCTTTTTTTTTTCTTTAATAATAAATCTTGAAAAGGTTCACTCAGCTGCCCAGTTATCATTTTTGGCACAGAGGTTGCATCAGACACGCCTTCACTGTCACGCAGATGCTTTGGAAATCTCAACCAAAGCTACTCAAGAATTGAAATGTAGCACACGGTGTATGTGTACGGTCAGTAGGATGAAAGGAAGAGGGTGTCAGGGGAAAACCGATGCGGTAATCTCTCAGCTTGTTCTGTGGCATAGAGCGATCACTCTTTTTTTTCACGTTTTGAAATGCCTGACTTGACTGGACCATCCGGAAGTTTTCAGCCTTCACAGATGTTAAATATAGGAACAGCAAACGTGAGCTCACCTTTCACTTCAAAGGTGTGAAACTAAAGCTGAATTCGCACGATGACAGAAGTGCAACGACAAACCACACGGAACATAATGGAAAAAGCTGAAGCACACACACACACACACACACACACTCCACAGAAGCCGCACTGAGTGTGTAAGACAAATATATACACAGGAAGTGCCTCCCACTCCTTTGCCCCTAGTCACTTGCTCTCTTTCTCTCTCTCTCTGAATGTTTCTGATGGCAGTGTGTTGCTGAGCAGCAGCCAGTCGTGTTTTTCCCCTCACTGAGCTCACTCTCTCTCTCATCCTCTGCTCCGGCTCTCAAACGCTCTGTTGCTCAGTGAACAGACTAGACCTCTCCTCTCCACTTCTTCTTCTCTTCTGCTACCCCTTAACTCTGCTCTATCCTCTTCTTTTATCTGTTTCTTCCTCACATTTCTTCTTCATCCCTGCCTGCCCCCCTGCCCACTAGCACTACCACCTTGGTGCCAGGGGCATTAGTGGGGGTCCCGGCGTGTCTTTTTGACTGTGTGTGTGTGTGTGCGTGTGTGTTTATGTGAGAGCGTGCCGGTACTGTTTTCAGCATGGAAGCGGTGGCATTGTACACGTTTCGTGCCACAGAGGGTGATGAGCTCAGTTTCAACAAGGGAGACTTGCTCAAGGTAAGAAAAAGAATTTTTCATCTTTGTCTGTCTGAAGAGTAAAACTGGCACAGCACCTCTGTCTTCTCTCTCGCTCCGTCTGCCTACACTGTGATAATTACAGCAATTAAAACTTTACTGTCAGAAGCCATTGAAATTATATTTCAAGTGCTTCAGGTGCTTCCTGAAGAAAGAATAGTCTAAAGAAAGATAAAGTATTAGAAGTGGCTTAAACCTATTTTGGATGATAGCACTCACCTGTATGTGTGGTAATGTGCTAGACAGCAGTGAGTTAGCTTAGCTTACCATAAAGGCAGGAAACAGTTTGAAGTAGCTAGCCTGGTTCTTAAAAAGAGCAAAGAGTTACTTATTTTTTATATTTAATTTGTTAATCTTTACACAAAAGTGTCAAAACAATCATGTAGAGTATGCTAGAGGACTTTTTTGGCTTGAACCAGTGGTTTTCTGGAGCGTCTGCTGACTACAGGGCAAATAGTCCTTAGCTTGTAGAAGTGCCAAATCTGTACTTCCTCAGTGGCCACCAATAAAGTCACTCCCTATCGTGTTTAATATTGAAAAGGCTTACTTAACAGCAGAAAGATAAAACATTTTTTTTATGTCTATGAAGCTAAACACATTTTTGATAACTGTGCAAATTTTCCTTAAGGACTAAAGAAAGTGGTTTGGCCACTTTGAGAGCTGGACACTAAAATGCTGTAGCATGTATAAAGTTACAGAGCTAGACCTCACAACAGTGTTCTTTCTGCTGTTAGCTAATTATACGGACTATTTATTGTGCAAACAGCCCATTTAAGAAGTTTGTGTTTCAGTTTTGTGAGTGAAATATAGATTTTTAGTTATATTTTTATTAGTACAAAGGCACCTATGCTATCTGTGTACTGTACAGTCATGTTTGCTAACATTAGCTCAGAACTTAGCACTCCATTGTCTCAACAAATGATAGTTTTTGCAAATACCACAAAAAAGCAACATGGCAACAGACAAAATGCTTTAAAATGTAGCTTTAAAAACGAATGAGTGGTAGCACAGGTGGCTTTGTAGTCTAAATCTTCACATATTAAAATGGGAAGTTGTCATTTTGGCTACATGGCTGACAGGTTACCACTATTTTAAACCTTTTTTTCCAAGCTAAGCTAACGTCACAGGCTACAACTTAATATTTACAGTATAAAATGGGAATGCTGAATCTTCTTATCATTTTACAGAAAGTAAATAGGCATATTCGATTCTACTCCTCTAATTTAATTTTGCTCCAGGTTGCCTAACAATCTTTTTTTTAATCTACAGCTTTTTATTTGTGTCAAACACCATGCTGAAATAGTTCCGGCACAGCTGGAAATTAGTGTAGTAGAAAATCGTCCCTCTAAGACATCAACAGCAAACCTCAGAATTAAAGAGCCAAGTGCTTCTTTCTAACACTGGTGCTTTGGCACCATCTGTTTGACACTCAGACGCAGGCAAATCAAGCAAGATGGAAGACACAGTGAGATCAATTTGTCTTCTGGATTTTGTCTCAGTTAACCAGTGGGCGTCGGTGCTGCAGGTCCAACTTTTCTCACTAGTTAAAACCTTTATTTTTTCCTTTCACTGGAATATTTCTCTGCTAATTTGAGGCTTTTCTTTGAGGGTGAATTTACCTTTTGTTGCTTGAAGATAGTTGGTGTACTATTCTTCCCATACTGACTTCATTCCAGCACTAAACATGAATAAAAAAGACCTCTTATTCCTGCTGTCTTTAAAGTCATTTGTTAGAAGTCGAGTGTCACAGCATGTTACAGCTAAGATGCAATGGCATTTAGTTTCGACACTAAGACAGATAGTTACAGCAGTCTTTGATGCGTACTTGTGTTGTCTGGCCATAGTGATAATTTACAGTAGCTAAAACAGCACCATCACTTAAACCACTGTTAAGTTTGTTTCTTTACTCGTGCAGGGCTAAGCGACTGTCTTGTCTTTGCCAAAAAGCTTTGGTTCACACTTGGGTCAAGCAGTACTTTTAAATAATTCTCCACATTTGTTCGTTTCTGCATGATGCGCCAGATGGCCTGAGCTTTACAACATCAAGAGAATTTGTGCGGAAAAAGAAAAAAGAAACTCTATAATTTAGTTACAAAAATACCAACGAGGTAGTTGCTTTCCTCACAGCTGCTCACTGGTGCTCATTTATTGCCCTTATGCTGCTTTAAAGCCTACTTCTGCTTCTTTTCACACCTTGTTGCCAATGCGAACGCATTGTGCGTTTTCCATGTGGAACTGGATCGATCGAGCTGAGCAGAGTGTTGACTCATAAAGAAGTTATAAAAATAGCTTCATAGAAGAAGTTGTAAAAAAAAAAGAAGTGGCTCTGGCATTATGTGTAAAGCTGGGAGACCGTGCTGCCAAGTTTAACACGAGGGACACAAAAGCCGAGCTTTAGTTCTCCAGATACCGTCACAAAAAATGTAACAACTCCGGCTGGAAATGAAAACCTCCAAAGCACCCAGAGAGTACGCAGTACATTCTAATCACAAAATGAAATAACTTCATTTCTTTAGAAAATAGTTAACTATCCTTGGAAATAAAAATATTGCTGTATTTATTTGCTTCCTTTATCCAACAGTTTCGTGTGTCTGACCACAGCAGTCAGGTGCGGTCGACCTGTTTTTAAGCCTCATTAAGAGCTTTGTGTGTGGTCTTTTCAGTCTACTGCCATGTCAGATGTTCACGTTGTCGGATTTTGTTTGTTTAATGCTCTTTTGTTAAGGGTTAATTATGTAATGAGTAAACTCTCTGGAGTGGTCTGGAAGGAGCTGTTAGTCACAGCTGAATTAACAGGGTCTAGCTAGATAATCAGCTATTATTGGTTATATACGGTCTCTCTCTACATATATATATGATAAACACTGTACATCATCGGTCCCCAACCTTTTTTGCGCCATGGACCGGTTTAATGCCATTAACCGGTATAATCTTCAAGATGGCGCCGAGTATGGCAGCCTCATCGCGAGCTCCCCCAAGCAATGCACAACTCTGTTGCTTGTGAAGCTCGCACACAAGAATTTCACTCACATGCACTGTACCAATGTAGCTGCACATGTGATGTGACAATAAAAGTGATTTGATTTGATTTGATTAATGTCAGACAATACTTTCACGGACCGGCCTTTAAGGTGTCGCGGATAAATACAACAAAATAAAATGATACAGACAAAGACAAAAACTGTGGTATTTTGTAAATATAATAATAAACGCAAATTCACTGTGTAATTGTATAACTTTATTAGCAGCATCCTCCTGAAATGCGCCAACAATATTGAGAGTAACATCCTCCTCTCTGCCCCTTAATCCTCTCCGATTGCTATGGTAACACGTAAATATTTCTTTCAAAATAAGACACACAACTACAGCACGGAAAAAGACCGAGTTAACAATAAAAACCCTGAAAACCATAAATTTCACACCCGAGCCTAATGTCTCGCTGCCCGGTACCAAACGACCCCCCGGGTACAGGCCATAGTACCAGTACGGGCCATGGTACCGGTCCATGGCCCGGGGGTTGGAGACCGCTGCTGTACACGGTCAACATTCAGTACAATTGTTTACTTACTTAGTAGCTACTAGTGGTGCGTGATAATGCAAATTTTGGTATGCATGTGATACCAAGTAAAAACAGGGCCAGAGTTACTAATACTACTACTGATACTTTTGATTAGTAAAGGCAGCCTTTATGACTTATGAGCTGAACCAAATAACTTACTTTTACTTTCCACAGTCATTAGTTAACCCAACAAAGCACACATTGCAGCATTTCATGTAATTTGAAAGTGGGGTTGTTTGGAGAGCTGGGATGTAGATACGCTCGTCTTTTTGTGTCAGCTTCTGTTTAAATGTGCTACAGGCTATAAATAAAATAGGCATGAAAGTCAGCTCGCAAAGGCTCAGACATTTTTCATAGCGCGTGTTTGAGGTGTGTATTTTCCTTTCCAAAAGACAACAACAACAATATGGGCTGCACGTTGAACTTTACTATATTAATACTGTTGATATTTGTATTGATGCACTAGTACTTACTGGCATTGTTGCATTATTAATAAAATTAAAGTAGTGATCTATGAAATAGAAATAAGGAAAAGTTCTTAAACTGCCAGTGTTACCCCTTAAGAGGCTTTATGAACACAATACATATGACAAAAAAAAGATTTGGTTTCTCCACAGAACTCCTGTAGTTACTCGTTATTATGATGTACAAGCAGGAAAAATTAAATTAACAGGTGAAGCTGTACAGGAAGTGGAAACTTTTTGATTGAAATTGTGGTGGGGGGGAAGTTAGTCTCTGAGTCAGACTGATGCAGAAATGGCTCACTGGGTTTCATGAGAAACAGTCCAGCGTGTTGTTTTAAACTGTGGGAAATATAGGAAGAGGTTGTTTAGGAGGGACACCGAAACCTCCAGCCTCTTGAAAGGGCAAGCTTTCAGCTCGATGAATGACTGACGTTATGAGCAGTAAATCATTTCGTAGCCTGCGACGCATTTACAGTGCACGTACAAATGTGCACTGTAGCCATTACAAGCAGCTGATGCATGAAATGAAGTTTCTAAATGCAGAGAGGGGACAGGGCAACTTTTTTTTATTTATTTATTTTCTGGCAGATGGGCATTACTGCCCAAGGTGTTCTTCATCACAGTGGCCTTCAAGTCCTTGCTGGCAGGATGTCGCGTGAAACTTGAGGTGAGGGAGGATGTTTTAACTACAGTACATGACACGTGGTACTTTGCTGGGTACAGCTGCTGATCAAACACAGAGGCAACGTGACGAAAGCCCAAAAAGTGATAAACCCAAGCTGTAAGGGAGATAAGGGAGAAATGTGGCAGTGCGAGGCAGGCGGCGCAAAATAAAAATCATCTTAAAATATCAAAATGACAAGCCATGTCACAGCTGGGTTAGGAGACTGAATGTAAAAAAGATTTTGAAAAAGAGCATGAACAGAGATGAAGCAATGAAAGGGGACGGGATAAAACAGATAAGGTTTAAAGCAGGAACATATCAGGAGTCCTTTATTACCATCATCATGATGGAGCCCTGGCCCTGTTTATTACCTACTGTAGCCAGCAGAAATAAGACATGTTTGGAAGAGCTTTTAAACGACTATCATTGTTATCATTTGTGCTTGAATTTCTTTTCATTTTACTTTGCACACCCCACTGTCAGATTACACATCCTGCGAATGATAATGACGCCAGCTAATGTGAACTTGATAGCAGGCTCTGGTGTGACATTTCAGACTTTCTTAAGGCAAGCGACTAACTATAGTAACTATAGTCTTTAAAAAGTCAACTGAAATATTTTCAGTTATGGCTTATTTTCAAGCTATAAAAAAACAAGGGTTCAATTTATTTTATTTATGTAATTAATTTCTTTTTACTTACACCAAAGCGGTGTAATTTTGATTATTAACTCTTTGCCCCTTAAAAAGCTTCTAGAAGCTCTTTTCTGAGCCCAGTGGTTTCTGTTCTTCTGCGTTGATACATACTGAGATCAAAATTTGTCACTAAATGTAAAGAGGGGGAAAAAAGTCAAAGTACTGATATATAAATGTAATCTTCTCTTGCAAAAAAGCTCATTCCAAGTGTATCACCTGCACAGGAGTTTTCTTTTGGCGTTTCCTGTATTTTTGGTGAGATGTCTGTGTTTATGGAAAAAGGCTGGCGTCGGTGGGGCCTTTAGGAGTACGAAGAACTGTCTAGAGATAGCGCTGGGTGTTTTGGCTCTGTAACGGGCAGCGAGGGCAGCCTGGCTGCTTGTTGTGACAAGCTGTGTTTCCGTATCTATAGAGTACCCGCAGGAGCAGGTAGATGAAACTCAGTGTGAGATTACAACTTCAGATTGTAATGACAACGCCTGCTGAGACGCGCTCATCTTTACTCGCCGATATCATGTGAAATTCCACAGTAAATATATGTATATTTCATATTATTCCTCTGGATCGCCTGGAGAATCTGCGCAAGGTAAAACCTGGTGTCGTCATGATTTCCATTACACTACCCACTTTGCTCATGGTGTTACAGCTCTGCTATAAAACACAACCTGATCAACTGACCTGTAAGTGTAATAGAAACAAACAAATCACTCAACATTATAGCGCATGCATTATATTTTACCCATAATTAGTGTAAACACAGAGCCTCCCTTACACACAGGTTTTGTACTCCATAATGCAGAATATAGCACTGAATAGACTGTAGTTATTCTGACATTATACTATAGGGATGAAAATGTGACAGAAAATCTGAATTAATAAGAAAAAAGGTTTTTTTTTAAGAAGAATTAAGTTTACAGTATTTATTCTTTTTAATTACTTTGATCATTTGGGCTTTACTGATGGAAAAAGACACCTATTATGGGGTGTTAGGAATACATTACATATTAGAGTGTGATAAAGGGCAGGAAAGGGCAACAAACATCTGGCAAATACCATCAAACTTCATTTTTATCTCCGCTACACATCTGTGATGTATGGTGGTTTCCGCATTCGGCGTGATGACCCGCGCAGACCGACTGACTCACGTCAGCTAACTCGAGGAAGATCAATTTTGAAGAAATATGTGGATTTGCCAGCCATGGTGAAATCACGAAAGGCTTCATGTGGCATTTAAAACTCGCCCAGTAATCTTTTCAAACTTGTGCGAGTTGACGGTTGCGGATAGTAGAAGCAGAGAGGCCTGTGAGGAGGCTGATAAAACAGTGTGAGGACAAAATCCAGCACCAACATCATTATGGGCAGCTTTTCATCTCACTCTGTGTTTTTGTGTGCGCTTGCTCTTAGATCACCAACATGGAGGATGATCCTAACTGGTACACGGCCGAACTGCACAACCGAAAAGGGTTCGTGCCGAAAAACTACATCAACCTGCGTCCACACGCGTAAGTATGCGCACACTCACGCACACATGTGCATCTTTAGCTCATCTGTATAAAGCGTTTCACACATCTACCTACCACCGGTCCATTTAAACATCTCATCAGCGAGGATGTGAGCAGTTTGCTGCCCCGGGCATTTTCTGCTCTGCTTTGGACATCTGCACTCTGGCATAAGGCGGCCTACCCAAAGGGACACACTCATTCGCTAACTTATGTAATCACACATGATACAGCCGTGTGTGTGTGTGTGTGTGTGTGTGTGTGTGTGTGTTTACAGTGAAGCTGCTGGTACACCCTGTATCTCCATCAGATGGTCATGCACCAGCTGGTTTGCTGTGACAAACTCTAAACTGACAACACAGACGTTACAGCAGCTCTGGCTCATTAATGAACCCTGATGTACAGCCCAGTTGGAATTGCCTAGTTAAGTCTGTGGACACCCCTGGGAGTGTAGGATACGTGTGTGTATATATGTGTGTCTTTTTTCCTCCAAATTTCTTTGCGTGGCTTTGATTTTTTTTTAAAAATCCCTGAAATCTGACTGCATGAAGTTAGCCACGAGGGTCCTAGAGTTTCTCCACCATATTGGATAGATGCTCACTCTTCATGAGTCATCAAACTGACTGCGCTCAGAGCCTCCAAGCAAAGCGCACTACTAAGCAAGTGCAAAAAAAAGAAAGGAGAAAAGAAATGAATAATGACACCTTGACTTCCGCACCACTGCTGACAACTGAATTGCTGGATTTGTTTCATGTGCAAACTTAGCAGCGTGTGGAAAATTCACTTCTTTCATTCTCTCTCTCAGCTCTTTGATCCGTGCTTTTGTGAGCTGCTCTCCTCTCAGTTTCTTTCAGAGTTAGCAGATATCCACAAACTTCTTTTCTTAAATTTGAGTGTGTGTGCAAACGTCTGGAGGAGATGCTCAGATCAGGAGAGTTCACCTGCATAAAGCGGTAACACCGGTGACCCCTTTCTTTCTTTGTTTGCTCACTTGCTTTCTTTTGTCTGTTTTTGTTTTTGCTTGACTGGCCTGCAGCTGGTTCGCCGGTCGCATATCTCGCGGCGTGGCAGAAAGTCGACTCAGAAACAGAGAGTGCGGCGCCTTCCTGGTCAGAGAGAGCGAGAGTGCTCCTGGGGAGTTTTCCATGTCTGTCAGGTAGGAGAAAATTACTAAAGATTTGCACTATATTCTGCACAGTTGCTTTACTGTCGTGCTCCTCGCAGTGAGATTTCATACACCTCTCTGATCTCATATGTATTTCTTCATATTACCCTGCGTACCTTCTCATTACTGCAGCTGCAGGGTTGCTCCACAGCCATCACTGAAGTTTCATTGCATCTCATCTAATGCCACAGAATTGAATTAGCAGACCTATAAGCACACACCTCTGAAAACGCTACATTATTTCCCTGTATTTCTTCATTAATGTATTTTGGATGCGCGCGGGCGAGTGTGCGCATGCTCGATATATTTGTCATGGTGGCTGGGGATTAGAGAAGCAGGCAGAGAACGAGGGTTAGAGGATAAGGTATTGGGTGGAGGCTAAGAGGGGTGAGGGGGGGATCTGCGGGCCCTCTGGCCTGATGTGAGTTAATCCTGTCTAGCACACCACGGCATCTGGAGCTGCTGATGGGGCTGATGGGTTGTCTTGTCAGTACGTGGCGCTGAAGGGTGCAGCTGAGACTTGGTGTTGTGCCTTGAGGGGCTGTGTGGATATTGGAGTGTGGGAGGTCTGGGTCTGAGTTTTGGTGCTGATAAAGGCCAGACCTGGAATGGAGGTTTGGCCCTTCACTGTGCTCCTACTTAACTCAAGACAGGGGTTAAGAATTAGATCTGGGGATTGTTTTGTGTTTGGCTGTTAAATCGCCTGGGCACAATGTCACTCTCAGTGGATTTGTCTTAGGATAGTCCTTTGGAAGGGAAAGGAAAAAATTAGGTTGCCTGTGTTTAAAAAAAAAAGCTAAAATACAAAATTAGACACAAGGGATGGAAGAGAAGCGATACGCTGCGAGTAAAATAGATTTGCCAAGAGGGGACAGAGCGGAATCTGATGCTTCTTGTTTTTTTGGGGTTTTTTGGCTGTTTATTGATGCCTTTCTGGCTGTTGTTGCTGGATGGCGTAGCAGCTTGAAAAGTGGGTCAGGTGTTTGTGTGAGTTTGCCAGTGTGCGTGTGTGGTTCTTGTGTGCCGACACCGCTCCTGTCAGAGGAGACAGGACATCAGTAACTGCAGAGACTTCAGTCTCAGCTCAGCTCGGTCCGGCTTTGACGTCAGTCTGTGAAAAATCCGATCCACTTTCACAGCCATGAATGAATCCTAGAAGAGACGTTGTGGCTCTTTTTGTCATAAAGAAAAATTCTGGTGGAGACAGAAATCCTCCAAGTGTGATGTACGATAAAATTGGCTAATTAGCAACTTTGTTTAAGGAAGGCAGGGATGGCAGATCTAAATCTAACTTTAAAACCACTTTAGTCCATTATGAAAATAGTTAAAGTCACGTGTAAAGATGTGAATATAAATATTTCCACCGCGTTGATCTCTTTGAAATATTGGTCTTGTGGTAAGTAATTCTAACATAAATATATGTGGGTGACCTACTAAAGGAAAAACCAACATAAAGTGGTTAGTTCTTTATCCTTTAATTTGTTGGTCATCTACATCTGTCCCTGTTGTACTTGTTAAATGCAAACAATGTTACTATCTTTGTTCTTGTTTCCGCAAAAAACTCAAACAACAAAACATGCATTGCTTTGTTATCAAATATTGCAGTCATTCGATTTTATATTGCAAACAACAATGTACAATATCTAAAAATGGGATTTATATAGCATCAAATCACAACAATAGTTGCCTCAAAAAGCTTTATATTATAAGGTAAACACCTCACAATAATAGAGAGAAAAACCCAACAATCAAATGGCCCCCTATGAACAAGCACTTGGAGGCAGTGGGGAGGAAAAAGTCCTTTTTAAAATGAAGAAAAGTCTATATTTAAAAGTACAGAGGTTGACTGTCTCCCAGCTCCAAAATAGTAGCTGGCACCACAGAAAAGGGGTCTGAAAGCTGAAGGCTAATGTCTCCCCACTTTTAAATATCCTAGGAACCACAAGACAGCCTCTGATAGTGCCTTATTGGGGTATTATGGTACTATGAGGTCTTTAAGTTAAGATGGGGCCTGAATATTCAAGGCCTTGTATGTGAGGAGGATTTTTAAATCGATGAAAAATCCTGACATTTTCATTAAGCAAATATCCTGTGTGAATGACAAACAGATCTGAGTCAGAAGTGAGCCACAGTTATACCCATGTCAACCTACAGTAAACCAAACACATAAACCAAAACTGGATCAGAGTTAATCTGAACTGTCGGGGGAAAAAAAGTCTAATCTCAATCTTAAAATATAGTAAGGATTCTGACATGAAGGGCTTCCGTAAAAGCAAGATGTAAGCAAATATAAAAAAAACAACATTAAAAGAATGTGCTGGTAGTCTGGTACAGCTAGAGAACTAAAATGGTGCTTAATATAAGATGCCAAGTGAATGAAACTGTGCACAAAAGTGTAAAATAGCCACAAATGTGGAACACAAACATCTGCGGAGGGGAATAAAGAACTGACGTGATCTCAACATCCTGTTCGCTATCGTTCTTCACCATAAAATCAGTCTTAAAAGCGGTTTTGTGGCCTAAAATAAGTAATTTAATGACTCCAGCCATAATGCAAGGGACCTTTTTTAAAACAGTAATTGCTTCAAAATTTCTTTAAACATGCAAAATATGTGGCAGAAGACTGTAGTTTCAGACTACGCCAGCAAAACTATCCCAGTGGGTTATTTAGTAGCTTATTTTTGGAATATAAAGTGATGCCAAGATAGACTTTAGACACAGAGAGACAGAGACCAAGAAGAGAAATCTATTTTGCCATGCCGGGTGGTTTCACAGTTCTCTTTGACTCAGCAGCAGATGCACCCAAAGGATATATTTGGTCTTCTCCTGCAGCGCTACAGTGGCACAACTTAGATCTAATACTTTCAGCAATACCTAATCCAGTTCTATAGTTTGGGTACTTTTTAGATACTTGCAGAGAGACAACATCAATTTTCTCACTGTCTGGTGTTAAATCTCACTTCCTTTTTCAGACTTTTCAACAGCTGCTATAACTGCAAGTCCTTGCGGCCGACTCCCAAACTCCCTCAAAGTAAAAAAAAAGTGTGCGCAGTCACCAAAAGACACTTCAGGAAATTAGTAACTGAAGCAAAAAATTTGATCGAGTGCCTTAGCAAAAGTAGCTACACCTGTCTTGAAGGTGCAGTTCACTTGAAATTTATTAGACAGGCAGGAGTAGCATTGTGGTTGTGGTTATCAAGGTTTTGTTTCACATGTTTCCCACATCCAAAGAGTCAACATCACTTCCTTCCTTTTTCTTTTGAAAAGACCTAAATCTGTTCCAATAGATATTTTCTTCCTGCTTGACCCAGTGTTTGTTTAGACTATAGTCTGGTGTTGCACGCAGACGCACACGTGCACAAAGACACGTACACAGTCGGTTTTCCTGTTGCATCTGTCCCGTATCACCTGGAGGTCATACAAACACCATTTCTTTGATGTAACAGTCTGATAGAAGCTCACCAACAACTTGTCTGGCCTGATGTCTTCTTGACCAGTGAGTCCACATTCTCAGCCTCAGAACGCCCACCCACCCCACCCAGAAGATGACTCATAGTCTCAAGATAATGATTTGTCAATCCATTGTGCTCTGAACAGTAAGGACTAAGGTCTGTTGCGTGTCTTGCCAAGAGCAATCACCACCCTGAAAAAGGGTTGGCTATCTGATTTCACTCTTTGATTTGTGGGCTCGGATGTTTTTGAAGCCTTGAGTTTATGTCCTTGTTTTAAGGACATCGAAAAACTAGAAATTTTGAGTTAGTAAGTTGAAAGTTTCAGTTAGCTCTGGTATTCAGAAAGGGCCCTGATGGACCTCATTTCCACTTGAATGCCTTCTAGCGAATGATAATTCATGAAAGGTGTTTATGTGGAATTGTTGGACAGCTGACGTCTTCTGCAATCTACCTCCAGGTGACAAGGTAATGGCATAACTTCACAGAGCCCCTGATTGTCAGATCCAGCTTGACAATTTAGGTATTTGCTCAAAATTTTGACTTATTAACTCGAAGCTTGAATTATGATGGCTTTTTTTCACAGTTTTCAGCTAACTTTGCTAGTTTCTCTAGCTTGACTCATCAAAGAGTACATAGAAACCTGTGAATTAGTACCGACATGTAAATAATATAGTAAAATTCGGGTTTACTTAAAAACAAAATCTGCTTCAAGAAAGTTTAAAAGCATAGGTTAGATTAAAATGCAGTGCTTCTGTAAAGTTGCTCATTTTTAACATGGGCATCTATAGTGATTAACTCGCCTTCCATGGAGACTGTAAATACCATTAACGGTAGATGAAAATTATATAGACAGGGCCACTAGGCAATTTGCCCACTGCGCTACCATTTCAGTGTGGATGCTGTTGTTTTTGACACGGCCTCACGTATCACTGACTCACGCTACACTGACTGATGGCTCATACAGTAAGCGCTGATTCTGGCTGTTCATTCGGCTTCCTAGTCATCATTTATCATCAGCCTCTTTTCAGGGACATTTCTACAAAGGGAAACCATTAGAGGGAACTGACCCTGTGGGTGATGCTTATTTTACAGCTACATAATCCGCTCAGAGATTTAAGTAACGCAGAGTGGGTTCAGTGTCCTGTGAATGTCATCATTTGGGGGACAATTTCACACTTCGTGAACATCAGGAAAAAAAAAAGTGCTTTAGTTTTTTTGATACAATAAAAAAGAGTGTGTCAAGAAACGCCTGCCAAAATGAAGAAGTGACTAAAGTTATGTAACATGACTCTAAAATATTAATTAGGCCATCACGTTATTTGGTATACCTGCTACTACTTGGACAAACTCCTTTTGCATTCAGAAATATCTTCATTTTGGTCCATATTGAGGTGACGGGCTCACACATATCCTTCAGATTTCTCGACTGCACTTCCATGATGTGAATATCCTGTTCCACCACATCCTAAAGGTGTTCTGTTGGATTGAGATCTGGTGACTGTGTAGGCCATTTGAATGCAGCGAAGTCGGTGAACTGTC